AAAGTCAGATCTCCCGACAGCTCAAAACCTTCACTCTGGAGAAAACAAAAGGCCATGGATTAAAATAAGACTGTGATGACCTGCCCTAGTCCTTCCTCATACTGTCTCCTGATTTTATTTCCTGCCACTCCCACTCCCAAGACCCCTCAAGGGTCTGGCACTTTCTGTTTCCACTGCTTAGAATGCACTTCCCTTTCCTTCAGCTCTCTGCTCACTTGACACCATGTTACAGAGGCCTTCCTTGACCCCTGACTGTTAAATGAAGTTACAGCCGCCCCCCTGCATAGCTGCCTCATTTCCCCTTACCCTGCTTTATATTTTTTCATAGCATTTATGTTACTAATCAGTAATTGGTCTGTCTCTTCTTGATTTGAATGTTTCATAAAAGCATGAAGTTTCTTTTGTTCAGTGTCATGTCTTTAGTGTTAAACAATGTCAGACACCTAGAATGTATGTGATAAATATTAAAGATAGTGTGAGGTAATGCACATTATGAATTCATATGTACAAAAATAGAAGCATTGCCAATTCTTTTGATAATGTGAAAACTTGAGGGAGCCACCATAATTACCAATATAAATGCAAGAACATGAATGAATATGGCAGTGTTTATTATATTTAGGCATTAGCAAATCAAAAGATAATGAAAGTAATAATGAAGTAATTATTGTGAACTTTGTTTCTCCCAAGCATCAGTAAACATCATCTTATTGGGCACCTTTGCACCCAGACTCCCCAGCTCAGTGCTGTGCTGGGCATTCTTCTGCAGTTCTTCTGGGAAAGAGGTGAGCCGTGCTTGCTCCCTCCTGTGGGAAGGCTTGCTGTGAGATTGCTGCGGGCTGTCAGCAATGGTGATGTTTACCACATATTTCTGGAAAGGCAGAAATTCTCAGATTGCAGATTCTCACTATGTTAATATATAATCAATCAGTATAAAGATGTGAGGAGAAATGTCATGCTGATAAACTAAGGTCTTTACTGCACTGTCAGTATATTTAAATAAAGATTTAGGAGGTAAATTATGACTATTTAAGATTCAAATGTGGTATGCAGTTGTTAAAACCACTGAAGTAGAGTACCCCCAGCATACTCGCCCAGTGAGTGACTCGGTGAATCTATCTTCCGTCAGAGGAAATGGAAGCACTTTGACATAAAATGAGATCAATATAAGCCATAGTTTCCTCAATTACTTTTGCTTTTTGAGAACATATTTAGTGATTCTTCCATTCATGCACAAAAGATTTAATGTTATTTTGTTAATAAGCTTGAGATTCTCTGAATAGATCTGTCTCCCTTCCCATTATTTGCCCATTTTATTTCCTGGGAAGATTATTTATTATATCTCAAAAATTGGAAGTAAATGATAAAAGTGCTGTATTTTTTCAAAGATGTCATTGTCATAAAGTCATAGCCATTTGAGAATTTATTTTATTTGACGTGATGTCTTCACACCCAAGGGTTTGTGGTTTCATTTCAGAGACAGAGGGCCTGCAGCCCCTTATCAAGGCTGTGGGAATGCTGTTGCTTGTACCCTTACATGGTGGGAGTTAAACCATAATTTTATATATTTTTAATTTTATTTTTTAAATATTTACAGATTTAATCTTAACTTTTATTGTTCCTATAGAATTTTCATATAGAGGTTAATTTGTTCTTTGAAAAACAGTATGGCCTTATTTGTAAACTTGTATTTCTATACAATGATCCAGCAATTTCACTCTTTGATATACATCTAAGATACACTGCTGTGCATGTACACCAGGAGATGTGCACAAGAATGATCCCCACAGCACTGTCCCCAGGAAAAACCTGGAAACAACCCAGATACCCATCGACAGGGGAGTGGATAAACTGTGGTAAAGTCAGAATGGAATATTATACCGTGAATGAACTTATAACATGAATTGACAGCTTCTTGTGACAATGTGAATGAAAGAGCTGCTGGTTGCAGCAATAACTTTTTATAAGTTAAAGACAAGTTAAAGAAAACTCAAACATAAATATTCAATCACAATGGAAGCAGGAGAATGATAAGCAAAGAAGTCAGGATGGTGTAAAATGCAATTTTAAACAAAGAAAATACACCCATAAAAACATCCAGACTCACTTTGGATTAGTCACTTTAAAAAAAAAGACAAAATAAAATTACATTTTTTCCTCATAGTTATTTATCTTTATAATATACAATATTAGAAATAGGTAGTCTTTAATTAGTTTATAATCACCTTGAAACTTAATTATTCCCCTTTCGTATTGCTAGTCAGATAAATCTTGACTCTCCTAGTGAAGATCATTGTGCAGTGGGAAATAATGCCATCAAAAGCAACGTACCACATGGATTATCATATGATTTACTTTTTAAAAGTAATCTAATATGAAAAACTTCTAATATCAAGAAATTTATTTTACCTTAAAAACTATATACTTTATTGGATCACAACATGATCAGTAAGAAATAACAATTCTAATTATAAATAATGTTCTCCAAAAGGAGACTGGACTTGGAGCCACGAACACACAGTACAGGGTACAGATGATGTCCTGCAGACTTGTGCACCTGAAACCTGTGTAATTTTGTCAACCAATGTCACCCCAATAAATTGGATAAAAAACAAAACATAAATTTTAAAAAATATAGAATTGTTTTGGAGAACATCCTGACAAACATTGAAATCTACACATTTTTGACATTGCTATTTTGTACAGCGTCACTTTTTCTAACATTCATGGAGAGGAAATGGGCACATACTAAAAGCCATTCATTAAAACCTCAGTGTGCTCATAAAACCAAATCAATGGAGGTAAAATAAAAGGAGTTATTATTACTTACATAGCATTTAGTATGTGTCAGCCACTGTTTTAAGTACTTTACAACTGTAAATTCATTTAATCTCCATCACAACTCTATGAGATAGTTAATGTTAACATTTACAAGTAAGGAAACAAAATTTGGTGAAGTGTCTAAAGTCACACAGATAGAGTAGTTGCCCCATATTCGTGGGGATTATGTTCCAAGAACCCCAGTGCATGCCTGAAACTGCAGATAGTACCAAGCCCTATGTATACTATGTTTTTTTCCTATACACACATACCTATGGTAAAGTTTAATTTCTAAATTAAGCACAGTAAGATATTAACAATAGCAATAACTAATAATAAAATAGAATGATTATAACAATACATTGTAATAAAAGTTTTGTGAGTATGGTTTCTCTCTCTCCAGTAATATTTATATTTTCCAGTCCAAACTTATTTCTGAATCTTTACAATCATTCCTTACTTGCAGTAAATGGCTTAGTGTCACTCATTTTGGGGGATTCCCTGCTAAAGTCTCTGTATAGACTCCATGCTTTTTGGCGCAACACATTGTTGTCCATTGGAACACGTTTGCTGTCTGTGTCTTCTACCCACAAATTTAATGCCTTTTCTGTCTTAACTAAGCTCTTATTATACATTATGGCCGTAACTTTTGCAGTTTGAGGTGTGACAGGAAAGCTAGCATTAATCCTTTTTTCCTTCTTTACAATTTCAGGAATAAAAAATTCATTCTTACCATAGATCTTTGCAACCTCAGTATAGGATTTTTCTGCTTTTCTTAAGTCAAGAACTTTTATCTTTTCACTTAAAGGTAACTCTTCATTGCTTCTCTTTGGCATATCCAAATTGCCAGCATCATTACTCTTGTGCTTTGGGGCCATTCTTAAGTAAAATAAGAGTGACATGAACACAAGCACTGTGATGCCGTAACAGTGGATCTGATAACCAGAGACTACTAAGCAAGTAACTGGCAGGGAGCACGTGCAGCGTGGAGATGCTGGACAAAGGGATGATTCATGTCCTGGGTGGGATGCTGTGTGAAGGCACAAGATTTCATCACACTACTCAGAATGGCGTACAATTTAAGAGTTAGGAATTGTTTGTTTCTGGAATTTTCTATCTAATATTTTGGGACTGCAGTTGACTTCTGATAACTAAAACTGTAGAAAGTAAAAGAGCAAGTAAGGAGGGACTTCTGTAGCAGGTCGCAGAACCAGGATCCTAACCCAGGAAGTGACTGCTGAGCCTGGTTGGTATCTCGTGCTCTGCAGCACATCAGTGGCACTTTATGTGACTTTCTGATTTTCACTTCTTGCAGTGACATTATTTTATGCATATATTTTGTAACACTGACTAATCATCTTCTGTTGCATCTCATTTGCCTCACTTTTCTGTTTCTTATTCACTTGCCTGGGACAAGCTGCTGACCTATCTAAATTAAACCAATGTGTATTAATTTTGACTGGATGGTTTTCATTCCCTGAGACATCCATCTAAATGATGGATTGTGATTCTTCCCAAAGCAGCTTTATTTTGTTTAAATATTGACAAAACAATAAATCCTTGAGATTTGAGGGGAAACTTTTCATAAGTCTGCCTCAAATTTTGGAACATTGTTAGATATTTGGGCTGTATATGAGATTATTAGGCTTTTGTATGAGATGCATCTGTCAAGTTCTAAACTCTGATGTTTTAGAGATTATCAAGCTATATAGAAATTACAGTTTTTCCATCAGTTTCCTTTGTATACAGATTCCTGATCACTAAGTTTAGTGTCACTCTTGGTAACTCAGAAAGGTCTCTTACATGAAATTTTATTCAAATAAAAGATTTTTGTTTTTAACTAACTTATAGACAATAATCAAATGGAAAATTCCACTGTGGATAAAAAACCGTACTGTTATGTTGATTTAGGACAAGATAACAAAAAAAAGAATCCATTGTATGCAGATAATAAAGCTCATGATTTTCAGGATATCTGAATAAGTTAGGAATTCTTTAACATTAAAAAAAGTTAAATGCATAAGGAGCATAGAAAAGGCAAAAATGCCTCTTCTTTGATGGCCTCTCTCATTCTTTAGGAATTTTTGTCTGAACAAAGTGTTAGAACTTAATATAGCTGTGTACTTTTGTTATTGTTACTGTGAAATATGCCTGAGAACATTTTTTACTTTTCTTTTCAGATGACAGAAATGATGCTCAGGAGAGCAGCTTAAGAGACTTACTAAAAGAGCTGCCGGACATGCACTACTGCCTCCTCAAGTACCTGTGCCAGTTCTTGACAAAAGTAGCCAAACACCATGTGCAGAATCGCATGAATGTTCATAATCTCGCCACTGTGTTTGGACCCAATTGCTTTCAGTAAGTTATGGAGTTTTGCCTTTAATATTATCACATACTCCTTTTCTTTTTAGTACTGCCTGAAATTACTGGAATGTAGACACGTATTTCAGACTGAAAAGTCAACCAATTTATGTTGAAGTTCCATGCTCTTTGACCTTTGTCTTGTTTTTGTCCCAGTGTTGAAGAAAGCAAATACCTTCTTATGAAATCATAATTTTTTATATTTTAAACAACCTTATTTAAAATTCTGGAAATAAGTTTTACTTTCACCAAAAAAGGCATTAAAGAAATTGAACCTGAGACTTTGATTAGCAGAAGGGGAAGGAATATGATGTAGTGTACAATTTTCTTAATAATGATAAATTTCAAAACATTGCTACTGGATGGAAAATTGCAAGCAGAATATGTCAGTGATGGAAAAAAATGTAACCTCAGCTACATTTATTTATTTTCTAGGGACAAACTAGACTAGAAATAAACTAGTTCTGTAGTCAGTGCTATATCACTAGTCACAGAAACTTTTGTAAAGCTTTAAATGTTATTTTCCCTGTTATTACTTAAAGCTCTTTAATGTATAACACGTGATCTTGCAATGCAGGGACTTTGCTTTTAACTCTCCCATTAATCTTAGCTGATATCAAGCACATCTCTTCAAGTTATAAGGAGAGAGAAAGAGAGTATACTCACACTTTATCTTTTAAAGATTTTATTTATTTTTAAAGAGCAGGAAAGGGAGGAAGAAAGAGAGGGAGAGAAACATCCATGTGAGGTTGCCTCTCATGCACCCCCCCCACTGGGGACCTGGCCTGTAACCAGACACATGGGAATTGAACCGGTGACCCTTTGGTTTGCAGGCTGGCCCTCAATCCACTGAGCCACACCAGCCAGGGCTCACTTTAAAAGCTCTCAAATATTCTCAGGAAGTTTTGTTGTTTTTTTTTAATGGTGTATCTGCTTTTCCACTCCATTAACCTACAGACCCATGCAACTGCCCAGAACCACTAATTTTACAGTCCTGAGAATCACTATCTAAATACAGACTCTGGCCTACAGCCTAGTGGCTGCAGGGTTCCAGGACATCTACAGCCACTCGGGGAGATGTTTCACCTCAGTAATGATCCCCATTGTAACCTCAGAGATTGAAATTTCAGATAATGCCATTTCATAGGATATGTCAGGGTCTCATGAATAAATATTTTAAACACAGACTCCATTAATTTCTTCTCTTATTCAGGAGCTCTGTGGTAGTAAAAAAGCTCTATTTCTTTTTTACTTCTATCTGCAGAGTCAATTTTGTTTGATGCCTTATATATAAGAAATAAAAGTAAGTAGAAAACAACTCAGCAATTTTGAAACCGTAGATTCTGGAAAAGGTTAAAATGAATTTGTAAATAGAATACTTATTTAATAACACACAAATGCATACCTCACTGCTAACTTACTGGCTTAGGCCAGATCTGCAATTCTTGATAACCTGCTTCAATTAGTCAAAATATCAAATAAGTGATGAGTTTTTATTGTGGAATCTGCTAATTATTATAGCTTAACCTTTCATTGTGGTAAAATATGCATAACAAAATTTACCATTTTGACCATTTTAAGTGTATAGTTCAATGGCATTAAGTACATTCCTATTGTTGTGATCATTAATTGGTTTGTATTTCTAAACTTATGGATATAGAAGTCACTACCATGTTCCTTCTCATTGAAATACAGTATGATACTTGTAACAAAGAGTGTTTAGTGAGCACTTACCAAGTGCTCTCTAAAGTGCTCTCTAAAGTGCTGCCTCTCTAAAGAGGCAGAAGTGTTATTTTGTCCTTGAAGTTCCTCTAGCTAGGTCAAGAAAAAGTAGACATGTCAACTCTAGTGACCAGAGTTAGACCATATATGCTATAAAGATAATCAGTGACAAGATGACATTCAAGGATAAATCTCACCATAAACCACTTAAAAGACGAAGGAAATACTTTTCTCAATAACTAAGGTGAATACATTGTATAGTCAACAGATGAGGAAGATTTATTTCTAAGAGGCAAGGGAACATCCTCATGACATAATGATTATTTTTGGAAGAATATAAAATTTTAAATACAAAATATTGCCTATGAAGTATATGATCATAAAATGAAAAGAAATACACCAACATATGATTGTTTGGTGTTGTGGTTGCTGGGCTTCTTGATGACTCTTAACCTTAATGACAAGGTTTTCAATATGTACATCTAGTTATAGGCTTATAAATTTACGTGATCATGTAATATTATCATAGAATATTCAAACAATATACAGGTATGTAGAATAAATATATTAGATAAAGTATCCTCCATTAATCCCTCCCATTCCAACCTTTCCTCCCTGGAGATAAAATCAGCAGGTCTGTATCCTTCCAGCCTTCTTTCTGAACATAGCCATAAATCTATTTTTTAAAACAGATTCAAGGTCCAAATATTATGAAGCTTGATTGTTTTTATGGTAGCACTTGAACTTTTAATATCAGCATACTTATTATATACCTTATTCTTTTTTTTTTTAAAGATTTTATTTATTTATTTTTAGAGAGGGAAGGGAGAGAGGGAGGGGGAGAGAGAGAGAGAAACATCAATGTGCGGTTGCTGGGGGTTATGGCCTGCAACCCAGGAATGTACCCTGGCTGGGAATCGAACCTGGGACACTTTGGTTCCCAGCCCGCGCTCAATCCACTGAGCTATGCCAGCCAGGGCTATACCTTATTCTTTAAAAGTAGTGAAGAATGTGAATTTGCCCTAGTTTAACCATACCTGTATTGATGAGTGCTGAAGTTGTTGTCATTTTTTAAAAACTAGAACAGACTTGCAGTGTATGGTGCTACGTGGGTGCTAGAAATATTGGGGGGAACACTTTGTAAGGCATAGGATTGTCTAACTACTATGCTGTACACCTGAAACCAGCACAAAATAATATGAAAAGTAAATTAATTGAAAAAGAAAAACCTAGTCACCAATAAAAAAAAGGTTTAAGAAAAAAATAGTTGCAGCGAACATCTTGAGTGTGACTCTTTATGCACATCCGCAACTATTTCTTTACTAGTAGTGACATTGCTCAGCTGAAGGGTTTACACATTTTATAATATACTATGGCAAAGTTATAGTAATGTTTTTATAATATACTATGGCACCATAATAGGTATTTTTCTACGAAAAATTAAACTTTAGACTATAAGCTATATATATTCTATATGATCTTTTTTCCTAAGGAAATACATAATACTCAGTTTCTAAAATAAGTAAAAACCTCCTAAAGAATACTGTTATTCTTAGACATTAGCAGGAACTGCTTCCCAAAAGTTTTGGTAGTTATTAAAATGGGTACTGGATTTTAGTTGTTTGATTAGCATGACAAAAGAAAATGAGTGTAGTCCTTATTTTGCCTCTGGTAAGTTTGACCTTCTTCGTTATTTATTTTTCTGTTACATTTTCTATGAAATACGACCTACAAAGTTTGCTTTGAAGCTTAAGCAAGACCATAAGAGAAATCTTGGCACATAGTAGACAACTGCTAAAGCAGTGTTAGAATACCTCTGCATTTAACTAAATACATGTGTAATTGCATAAGGAGACCAGGTCTTTTGGATTCAGCCCCTCACATCACTTAACGAACTGGGCTCCTTAGAAACATGAGGTAGCAGATGGGACATTCTTCTTACCTCAGTTGTCTTAGTTTTCACTTCCTTCTTACATATAGTGCAAGATTCTTACAGTATTATATGTGCTTTTTAGTACCAAAAGAAAAAAATATTTCTTGTCCAATAAAACTTCTAAATACAAACCAACTTCTTTAATTTAGTACTTGTAACAGACACAAATCTTATGACTTCTTCAAATTGCCTTGGCGCACTACCCACCTCCCAGATTCATCTGCCACCAGGACTGACCTTCAGCCCACCTTGGGAATACTGGATCCTTTTCCTTGACTGCTGCCTCGCAGCTGCCAGAGGGGCTAGATGTGGATCCTGGAAGTCTAGAAGAGTTAAATCCCGTTGACAGTGGGAAACAAGAGTCAGGAAGGAAGTGGGCCCATCTCTTCTTTCTCCTGCCCATGGAATGCTCTGTCCCATGGCCCGCCCTTGCAGCCTACTGTTGAGTTCCATACTGCCACACAAAACATCTGCCAACCAAACTGTTGTGTGTCTGTCGTTGGGATCTTTGTGAAAGAACTGTGCACTCTTGACATTGTTTCACATCCCTACTTGCCTTTTTCCCTCACCCATGCTACCCTATATCCTACTCCCAAAATAATGGACCAACATCCTTGTCCTTGGCTCAGTCTTTGTTTTCCTGAGAATCTGCTCTAAGGCAGTGTGCACCTGAGGACACAACAGGACTGTTTCAATACAGGAGGAAAACCTGTCTTCTAAAGATATGGCGAGGTGTGTTGTACTTTAAGACTTTAAAGGATAATGTTGGCTCTAATGATTTTTCTTTTCCCTTGCTGACTTTGGAATCTAATTTTCTCATAAACAGTGACTCCATTCTGTCAACTGATGGTCCCTGGCACCAATTCAGTGCCAACAAGGAACTCCAATTTGAAGTGTGGTGAAGAAGGAAACTTTGTTCAGTGCAAAACAGCTGAATTGTGATACAGCACAGCTGTGAAAACAGCATGGCTGTGGAGTAGCTCAAGTGTGATACAGCACAGTTTTGCATGGATATGGAACAGCTCTGGGACGAGGCAGCCCCATAGCCAGGCCCCTTTCTGGCTAGACAGCTGTACTCTGCTCCCTGCCAGCCTGCTTTGTGCTGTGTATGCTGCTGTGCTCCACTCTACAACGGTCTGCTTTGCCCTACTCCACTGCTCCACTTCTCATAGATCGGCTTCACATTGCTCTGGTGAGACATTTCTGGTGTTTCAGTTCAGTCAGGCAGGCTCATTCTTCATTTTTCTGTGGAAAGGGACGGTACGCTTCCCAAACCTGAGGGAAGCTGGACAGAAGTCCCCACCCCGGTCCCTGATTGGTCCATCTTCATACAAATGAGGAT